CCTCAACGCCTCCCGAGACGACAAGAAGAACAAGTTCGCCAGCACCACGGAGTTCGTGGAGGACTACCTCAACAACGTGGTCAGCGAGGCTGTGCCCTTCGCCAACGAGGAGAAAAACAAGCTCACCTATGAGGTGCCTGCGGGGGAGGGTGCGGGGACTTGGGGTCAGATGGCTTGCCTTGCTCTGCTCCTGTGACCCCACTTCCCTCAGGGCTCCAGCCAGCACGGGAGGCCACATAAGTAGCTAGGATGTTAGACAGAGGGGATCCCCTTTCCTCAGCCCTGCGGCAGGTCACGGGAACTGGACCTTGTAGCTGCCCAGCTGATCCTGCATGTTCCCCTGTATTTTGGCCCTGCCCTTCCAGGACCACCTTCATTGCAGGCCCGGGCCCTGACAAGCCCTCCTGGGAGGCCCCGGAGTGAGACCCCAAACTCTGGTCCTCCAGCAGCCCCGCCCACACGGAGGCCCCGCCCTCCCAAAGGCCCACCCTCCTGGAGCCCCGCCCACACAGACTAGGCCCCTCTTCCCCAAAGGCCCACCCTCCTGGAGCCCCCGCCCACAGAGACTAGGCCCCGCCTTCCCAAAGGCACACCCTCCTGGAGCCCCCGCCCACGCAGACTAGGCCCCGCCTTCCCAAAGGCACACCCTCCTGGAGCCCCCGCCCACACCGACTAGGCCCCGCCTCCCCAAAGGTCCACCCCTGGAGCCCCACCCATGCTGACTAGGCCCCGCCCACTCTCCGCAGGTGGTCAGCCTGGCGCACAATCTCATCTACTTCGGCTTCTACAGCTTCAGTGAGCTGCTGCGGCTCACACGCACGCTGCTCGGCATCATAGACTGCGTGCAGGGTCCCCCCGCCATGCTGCCGGTCTACGAGGATGCGGGCGGTAAGGCAGCTCCGGGCATCTGGCCGGGCTCCCAGAAGCCCTCTGATCAACCCTTTGTGCAACGGGCCCCCCAGCTCTGCTGCAGGGGCCCCCAAAGGCTGCAGGAACTCGTGGCAGCAAACGCACATAGACCGACCCCTGGCGTCCCCATATGGGAATTCCCCCTCAGATCCCCAGCCTGCTCATTCTGGCTTGAGTCCCCGTTCACCTCCCCCAGGGAGCCCTCCTGGCTTTGCCCTCCTTCGTCAGCAGGACCTTGTCTTGCAGGTGGCAGTAAGAGATGGTGGCCGTGGGGCGGGGTGGGGGGTGCTGAGCCCCCTCTGCAACGCCCCTCTGCCCGGTGCTCCACAGGCAAGAACGTGAGGCGGTCTATCCAGGGCGTGGGGCACATGGTGTCCACCATGGTGCTGAGCCGCAAGCAGTCGGTCTTCGGGGGCCCCAGCATGCCCACTGGCACCGGTGCCCCCGAGCCCGCGGATCGCAGCAAGTGCGAGGAAAACGAAGACATCGTGGTGATGGAGACCAAGCTGAAGATCCTGGAGATCCTGCAGGTAGTGCCCACGGGCAGGGAGTGTGGGTGGGCATGGGACTCGTGCCCTCCCCCCTCCCCCCATTGCTCACAGTGGTAGGGGCCTTGCTTGCTCAGGGATTCCAAAGGTTAGTCCCTGGACCAGCAGCATCAGCGTCCCCTGGGAACTTGCTAGAAATGGACTGTCCAAGGGACCGTGCTCTCCCTGTCCCCCAGCTGCCACCTTCCATGACTTCTGCAGGACTCAGTGTCCTTGGCTCCCCAACCCTGGGGCTCCTGGAGTCTGCCAGGCAGAGCAAGGAGGCAGGCACCTGTGGGCCCCTGGCCTTGGAGCTTAGTGCCCGGTGCCATCAGAATTCACCCTGGGAAGGAGTGAATTTGCAGGAGATGCCAACCCCATCATGGGCAGGAGCTGACCCTCCCTTGATTGGTGGTGTGTCCCCAAGTATCACAACGTGGAGACCTTCCCCATAGAGTGACCAGACCTGACCGGGGGCCCCTCGTGCCCCAGAGCAGGGATGGCGTCCTGACCCCAGAATGCGCCCCGCTCCGCCCACCCTGCAGTTCATCCTCAATGTCCGCCTGGACTACCGCATCTCCTACCTGCTGTCGGTCTTCAAGAAGGAGTTTGTGGAGGTGTTTCCCATGCAGGACAGCGGAGCTGACGGCACAGCCCCCGCCTTCGACTCCACCAGTGAGCCCCTGCCCCCTCATGCTCAGGAGGGGCCCAGCGAGGCTCTGAGACCCACCTGGGGTGGGGGGCTCGGCAGTGGGTGGAGCCTGGACACTTAAACTTCTCTCTCGGGCCGGCTCCTACTCTGCTCTTTTTCCTAATCCATGGAGATCCGTCCTCTCCACCGTCACTTAATTGCAGGAGAGGGTAGAGCGGGAAGCATCTTCTTAATGTCCTAAATGGGGAAACTGAGGCCCACAGAAGGGCAGGAGCTTGCTGAAGGCCAGTCAGCCAATCCAGCCGAGCTAGACCAGAAGGAGCCTGGTCTCCCAGGCCCCAGTGGGGACTCTGCTCACCTGCGCTGCCTGCAGGGCAGCTGGCCCGTCTGCTCCCTGCCACGGTCGTTTCCAGCCGGGAGAGGGGAGGCAGAGGCCGGATGGAAGAGGCTGGGGGGTTTCTCCCTGTTTTCGCTCTCTCGTGCCCCATCTCCTGGACGTGGAGCCCCATCCGCCCCCTCTCGCCCCACAGCCGCCAACATGAACCTGGATCGCATTGGGGAGCAGGCGGAAGCCATGTTTGGAGTGGGGTGAGGCTGGGGTTGAGGTGGAGGGAGGGGTGTGTGGGAGTGACGCAAGCTAGAGACACACTCTGCCCCTTGGGGGACAGTGGTGGCAGAGCCCCGCCCTCCTCTGCCACTGCCCCCATTGACCTCGCCAGCCTGAGGCTGGGACTCTGCTCAGTGCTCGCTGCCCTGCCCGGCCTTTGAGGTTGGGCTGCTTAGGCCCCTCTGTGGTCATTGTCTTCCCTCTCTGCCTCTGCCAAGGGCAGGTGTGTCTGCCTCTGCTCAGGCAGCAGGACCCGGGTCAGGTAGCTGGGGGAACTCCCCACAGGTTCATGGCAGGATGGAGGGGTGAGGGCCTGCAGGCTCAACTCCTGGCCCACCCGGGCGTGGGCCTCATAACCATGGCGGTGCCACCTCCTTGGTACCCTCCACCCCCAGCATCCTGTTCTCAGTGCATAAAGCCCATAGACCCCCCCAAACCAGTGGCAGCGAAACAGACACATCAAACTACTGAGATGCTGCAAACAAATTCGAAGTGACAGCTTGTGCATGGTCCTCTCTGAGCGCGTTAGGGGTACCCCGCAGCGGCCCAGGGTCTAATTAGCACGGCGAGTCCACAGCGCGAGGGATGAAACGGGATCCCTGGATGACACAGCCACTGCTGTGCACACCTGTGTGCTCTGCGCTGACTGGGCCCTGGGCCGCCCGCACTCCTGCCCGGCAGCCTGCTTCTCGCCTTCCTTCTGGAAGGCAGCGCCCCGTTGGGTTGGCAGAGGACAGTTGGAAAAAGACATCAAGATGTGACTTTTCTCATTGAGCCTCCAGGGGGGTCTGTGCCCCCCCCCCACCACCCATGGGAGGAGTTCCTGCATCAGCTGCTCAATCGGGGGGAGCCCCAAGAGTTCCCAGCAGTTTGGGGACTCCAGGCAATGGCTCCTCACAGGCTGGTGAGGAAATGTCCCCAGCCCTGTGTGACCTCAATTGCGGGTTAAAGACACACAGCACGGCCCGCTCCCCGCCCCACGTTCTAGACATCACGAGGGGTCCTAAGATTCTTAGCACGGTTTTGCTCTGCTTGTGCCCTTCCCTGGACTGAAACTCCTGGTCCACGCCCTTCTCCCTTTCTGTGTGCCCCGGGCCTCAGATGGCCCGTCTTTTGGTCTGAGCGAACATCGAAGGGATGAGGTTCTGGGAGGGAAGACGCGAGGCAGTGCCTTTGCTGCCCTTGTCTGGGGGAGGCAGGGGGTGCGTACCAGGCCCT